ATACATAGATATAAAGGCCCACAAATGAGATATAACATTGATTTCAATCCCTTCCGTTAATGATTCTGTTAGCTTATTTTAAAAATCAATGCTCAGCAATACTCTAGTGGGTAGAAAGCGCTGATTATGAATAGAAATTTGGGGGGAAGATATTGATTTACTTGTTCTTGAAAATTGATGCGAAGATGAGTTCAGCAATCACGTCGCACAGGACAACAGAAAGGAACTCTGTATCAGTAATTGAGTTGAAAAACTCGATGCCTAAACCCAGTCCTCCAAACTGGTTTAGAAAGCGGTCGTGCTCACAATGGACATCGTGTTTTTCTAAACTGTCCTTTGGCATCTTAGAAACGCCTGCAGGGCGGTTAAGAATAAGACGACATCACTCGCTTGCTGAGTTTTTGTGCGTTTCACAGCTTGACAGAATCCCGGAAATATCTTTTCTACGTGCCTGGGTCTTTCTTTGAGTGCAAATTGCGGCAGCATTTGTGGGAGGAAATGAAAGGATTTTCGTGTTGTTGAAAGAAGAAGGACATGTTCAACCTGCGTTTGGACTTTGAAACATTTTTCTGATTAATAAACATGTCGCCGGCGTCGTCAGGATTTATCCCGAAGAATGGGGTTAATCTAGTGCTCCTTATTTGCATGGTATATTTAATATGCATATGTATAACGGGTAAGTAAATGGACGTAAAACTATTCAACGTAAATGATTAACCGGAGCTGAAAATGTATTTTGTTAATGAATAGCTTTGGGTCTTTCAGGTTTCAGGAAAAAAGGACTAAGAAAGAAAAAAAAACGAACATATATTTATGTTTTTTTGCATCATTAGGTATTATTTGTGTAGTTTATTTAAAAATAAAGAAATAGATAAACAATTAAATAAATAAATAAATAAATAAATAAATAAATAACAATAGTAATGATTATCGAGAGAAAATAAGAAAAATGTTGATCACCTGGAACGTCTATGTAAGGGTCTACACACTTTCTTTGATAGATCGTCTGATATTAATTAATTAATTATAGAAAAAGAGCTCGACCTGGAGACCCGCCATCCAAGGGTCATTTTAACTGCAAAAAGTCAGTTTCATTTAAACATCAAAGATATACTTTTGTGTAGAATTTTGAAAACAAAAGAGAATATAGCTTGCTTAATATTTAGAAAGTCGATGGTTTCCAATTAGCTCAGTGCAGCCCTGTAGTCATTCGTGCAGTGTCACATTCAGGAGAGACGTCCTCGCCATCATGCTAGAACAAATATCACGACAAATTAACTTGCCTGTGCACACGCAAGGTGTTTGCGTCCAGATAAATGATGTTTGTTCTTCAGTGATGAACAATGTCATAGACAGACCGACACACGGGTCAAAAAGTGTCTTCGATATCGATTAAATCCGGTAAATTAACTTTTGATAATATTAATAAAAAAGTATTTAAAAAGTATATTGTGATCGTGTCAAAGTAAACAGAGGCGCAGATGATATAAGGTTTAGGTTAAAAATAAGTGGCGGAAGGGACCTTTGTAGTTTGTGTCCGGATGGATTTTAGATGACCATGACAAAATTGATTGTCAGCCACGAGGAAAGAAAACCTATTGCAACAAGAAAACATTACAACTAAGAAGAAGTAGTATTTTGAACAGTATTTTGTTGTACTCCTTTCACAATGCCGATTTACTTATCTGAGGATGAAAAAAGTTATTCAGTAATGAGTATTTTACACAAATGTCATCCGATTAGAAATGTTATTGTGGCAATCATGATATAAAATTATTTTAAAGCCGTATAGTAAATAGTATTTGGGATTCATTAATCATTAGGATGAGAGTTTTCGATCACCCTTAGACCTCACTAGAATATATTTTGTTCTTCTACACAATGACCCCGTAAGTTTTTTTGAGATTTCAGACTCGACTCAATCCTGTGACCAAGAATTTGACAGCAGAAATGTGAAGTCTGGGCGCTTCTATTCCCCAAATATTGCAACCACATCTGGACAGAATATCAACGCAACTGAATGCTCGTATACATTCAAAGCAGAGGCCCTGATGTGGGTGAAAATTGAATTTGATATTTTAAGCATAGGAACAGAGATCAACGGCAGGTAAATCAAACTGAACAGTTATTTATTCCTTTTTAATTTATCTTTTTTTTTAAATTTTACTTCTTGTTTTCCTTTTGCACGCGTATGTAGCGTATATAAACAACCAACAACTAGTTCCAAGATTTCAAAATTCACAAACATCGAAATGTAAAAAAAATGAAACTTTCAAGTATAAAAACAATCACATCCGTGACTTTGTTTTACAGAGCACTGTCACTTTACTGAAGTCGCCAAGGATGAATTATGATATAGTTAAGACTAGAGTTGATTTGTTCATCTAATGTTTTTCTGCTAGATGATATACCCAAGGGATCACAATAGATTTACATTCCAGTTGTTCGGGCGGAGATGTCACTGTATACTCCGTGGATGACCGCGGCACTGAGCATCTTTTATCAGAACTGTGTGGAAGACACGTACGTCCACCTACTGTGGTATCACGCTCACCTCACGCTGTGGTCAGGTACCACAGGAACACCAGTCTGGAAGACCCCTATAGGCAGGGACAGTATGGCTTTATTGGAAGATATACGTTCTGGACAGATGGTGGGTTATAAAGAGGGAATGAAATATCATGGTTCGTATATGGGGTGGGGTGGGGGGGTGGGGGTGGGGGGGGGGGTGCTCTGCATCTTTATGTCTTTAGGGAGGAGAGAAATGCCCAAACTGTTTCATATGACGTACCCATAGAAAAAATGATTCACCGACGGGCTCAACTAAATTCTGATCAACCAAAAAACCTATTAATCAATTACGTTTTATTAACTGCAGCATGGGCCTTTTTCGCAGTGGCCTTATTTTGATGCCCTGAAATGCATGTTTTGTAGACAAGAAGTATTCAAAGTAAGTATATTAGTTATACATCCGAAGTCCTTATCAGATAATGCATGGCGTATTGTATGGTAATTTTTTAGTTGAATCTGAGTGATTGAGTGGAAATCGAAAGAGGCAAAGGGAATACCAGTCAGGCAATCTAATAAAAAAAGGATAAATGGTTCAATTGCTAGTAGCAACATCATATTGCAGTATTACTCCGAAGGGAAAACACATCCATTTACATCCAGTGCAAATAGACGGCAGTTAGAAGGACCTAGTTTCTTTAACGATGAATTGCTGCAAACTTAGACCCTTTATACATGCGTGATGGGTCCAAGCTGCAAGTAAAATGTTCAATACGTGTGCACGTATTTTGGCTTGAGATAGTGTGTGTGTGTGTGTGTGTGTGTGTGCGTGTGTGTGCACGTGCATGTTTCCGCGCGCGTGTGTGTGTGTGTGTGTGTGTGTGAGAGAGAGAGAGAGAGAGAAGGAAAGGAATGACAACAATGACGGTACATTCAGTGGCATTAATGCTCCGTAATTTTCACAAAGAATCCAAAGAATCAATGCTTCTCGCAGCGCCGAGCGGACGATTGTGATGTGAAAGCGCATTATCAGCGTAATACCATTAAAGATTTTTGTTGCAAGACGGACACGAGTCATCAAGATATCACAGAGTGGATTGCTGTCCGTCATTGAGGTGCTGTCTTCTGATAATGGCGTTACTGATTGATCGCTCCACGTAATTTCCTTGTTCTTACGTCTGAGTGTCCCTGCATTAGATGTAAAAAACGCCATCCCATAGAGATTGCAAGTGATCAAATATCCGCGTGCTTTTTGTACACAGTATTAGATTAGAAAATGATTTACTCGATTAACTGATGTAAATTTCTTTAATTTTGGCGATTATTTTGTTTGTCAGCGTTTATTCTCATCAACAACGGTAAACTTGGCTAAAAGCCGTTCAGTTTGTCCATGCTGTTGGGGGAGCGTATCCAAACTTCTACCGTGTAACCAAGAGATTTTTGAAAATCATTTATGTACGGAGTTAATTGAACAACAATACTACCAGGCTCATAATTTTTTTTAATGTTTTCTACATCTATAAGTGCCTTCCTGACGCAAGAAATCAATATACCTTGAATTATAGACGTAAAATTGGCAAGACATCCCAAACACAGCTCAATACTTCAGGTCAAACCTTAATTTTCTTTATCGACCTCACAACGACGAACAAACGCTTTTTAACCAAAAAACCAAAACCGAAAACAAAGCGGCTGTTATAGGCCATGTTATTTATTAAAAAATATACCAACATTATGTTTTATTACTTAGGGTCTGCAGAACCGCATCGCCATGATCGTTCGTGTGGGCCCCAACTGATCACTGGGAGTAGCGGTACCCTGCAGTCCCCGGGGTATCCTCAACCATACTCCCCCGGGACCCTGTGCTCCTGGAACATAGAGGTGGAAAGCAGTGCACAGATCCTCATCACATTTCTAGACCTTGATATAGGAAATAACAGTAATTTGGTCTTGAAATTTTTACATTTGGTTTATGGGGAAATCAGAAGCCATTGGCCTTTTTTTTAATTAGCGATATATTAATTTCAAAAATGACTTTTTTAATTTTTTAAACTAAATTGACAGTTGAATAATCATTATGATTAGATTCATTCACCAATCTTTTTTCCTAAGATGGGAGAGTAAAATAGAATAAACGCGCTTTTTTATTAATTGCTTAAGAAACAATAAACAATCAACCCTAGCGCATAGTTAATACACTACATAGCCGCGATTATTAATCAAAGACTTACTTCGTGGGCAATCTTATATCTTACAGTTCACTGCAATGAAACCCGTATTTCCATTTTCAACCACCCTGGACGGGTGCAGGATGACCCTGAAGCGGTCGTTTGCGGAAAACTTATGCTCTACGACCAAGGTGTGAGAGAATTCATGTCTGGATCCAACAGCGTGCATGTCAGGTAATAGGCCTACACTGTAGCAAACCTTTAATTATTGATTTGAATGAAATTCAGAGCCTTTCTTCTCCACTCCTAGCTGTTCCCATCTCTGGGGCAATGTAGTGGAAATGGAGTAGCCTAAGGATTTGGATTTTCTTCATTGCAATAATGCTTCTATATTTATTTAGTTATTCATAGAGACTGTTTATGTTTTTCTTTGTTTTTATCTAATGTTTGTTTTTTGTCGTGGCTTTAGTTTCAATTTTGATTCAACCAAATGTTTGTAAATTAATCGTAAAAGCTACATCAGACTTGGTATACAGACAACGAACGTGTGGGGTAGGATAAGTAAGATGCAACAATGTATAATGTATCACAGTTATGATAGGTAGACCCTACTACAGAATATTAAGTAAATCAATGTCCTTCAAAGGAGACAAAAATTATATATGGCAGAGCGGGTTTAAACCAACCGCACACTGCCTGTTTGTCAGAAGCTAAACGGAAAATGGCGGTGCAGTTGTATTCGAAATGCTTCAGTTGGGAAGCTTTTGCAGCCGGGGTGATTGCGTTTTATATGTTACGCCGCTGTCGCTTTTAACCCGTCATGCGGTTGACAATTTAATGCTCGAATTGAAAAAAAGCCCACTTAGATGTGATCTGGTTTTAATAACGATAATTTCATTACAGTTTTAATTGCCGGAAAAACTTTTTTGTCTAAAATTTTTGTTGTTCTACTCAATTAAATTCCAGACTAAAAAAAATCATGATTTATTTGGTTCTAGACAATTAAATCAGCTGAAAGAACCGTTTTATGAAAAAGTCAAGATAATTGATAATAGTTTTACTTAAGTTGGCTAACCAATTAAATGTAGACCTACTTATTCGTTAATTTTAGGTTCTTTTCCGTAAATTCAAAGCAACACACAAATAAAGGTTTTCGCTTTGTATGGACGGCTGTACAAGCTGATCAAACAGGTAGGTATGCCATTGCATAGTGACTTATAATCCATATATCTTTTCTGTCTCCATATCTCCTTCTTTATTTTTATTTACATTTTGCTATAATTTTCAAAATGCGTCAAAGATGTCTGGCCCCTCTACTTACCTTTGTTCAGAAAAACACTGAAATTCGAAATACTTTTCGGTCGTTGACAAGGTTTGCAGCTCGTGTAGAATACAACGTCGTCTTATAACAAGATTTGCATCTTTTTGAAGAAAAAAAATGACGTTTATTTGAATACAATCTTAAAATATCATCTTTCAGCCCAGTGTCGTGGTTTCCAGTGTGCTGGGGGCCAGGTTTGCCTGGACAGAAGGGGACTGGCGTGTTACAACCTTCCCCAGTATTGTATCCATCCCTCCCTGGAGTGCGACGCCATGCCAAACTGTGGGGCGTTTGATCTCAGTGATGAGAACAGGTGTAAGTCTGACGCCGTTAGACTCTTTCAAAGTTTGCGTATTTTAAGGTTGCTTACAGGGTACGAGTATTTTAAGATAGCATTTCTTACCTTGTATTTTAGCTAAGCAGTTTGCTGTTCTTTATATTGTTATTGTCATTTTACCGTTTTGTTTTTAATCATTTTAAACATGTAAGATGCATTGAGATTTTTTATAGAGTGTGCTAAAAATTATCATAATTAATATAAAGCTTTATGCTTCAGTTTCTTGCATGTTTTAAGCATTCAAGATTATAAATCTAATTAAATTTTAAAATATCCAAGATTAAAAAACTACACCTGAACCCGATTTTCAAAATTCAAAGACTACAATAAAACTTTCAAATACTTTCAAATATGGCAATTTTGAAAACTGTTTAGTTTTACTTTATTTTATACCATAAACTTGTTCTACTAGAAATTTTGGTACATGTATCAAAAGACTGACTTTCCACATGAAGTCTGAAAGGCCTAATCTCTTTCCCTCCCCATCTTTAAATGGATCGGTGTAAAGCAAGAAAACACTACATCCACCTCTTGTCCTTGTGTACAGTTTTGCTGCTCTGTATTGCAGGTGAAGAAGACAAAATGATCACACTGACAGCAGTGGGTATAGCAGCCAGTGTGTTACTCCTGGTGACACTGTTAACATACAAGTCTGTCAAGTGGTACAGGAAGCAGACTAGGACGCAGAGGAGAAAAGGGGTGAACACCTTGGCCAAGGATGTCGCACATCAGGTCCGTCTGCTGGCCGAGAGTCCAAGCAGACATAGAAGGGCAGACCACATGTTGCATGGCTTGACCATAGCCAATACCATGACAGAGGAGCTTCTACCAGCTCGGTTCTCAACTCCGACAATGCAGGACGATGATTCGGCAGAAGTGGTTGTAAATGAAATGAGTTTACAAATGGACTGGGATGTCTCCCAATCCGAGTATTCACCCACTGCTGGAAGTAGTTACGATAGTGGTAGAACATACTATTTGGACAGTACTAATGTTCCTCCATCTTTAGAAGAGTACCCCTCATACATGTGCCCTATGCCTGCTGCAGGTACCTCACAGTACTTACAGGCTTACCAGGTCATTTTTAGTTCAGACTTAGATGAGGATTCTGACAGATCTACTGTTATCAGTAATCCCAACATACGCGGGAAATCAGATGATGTATTTTAGTAGCTCTGCTAGTTTTCATTCACATGTTCAGTACTATATTACTATAGTTGAATAAATTAGTTTGGAATTACCTTCTGAGTGTTTCATAACTTTTAAAGCGATGTTTTAATCTATCTGTAGGTGTGAACAAATCAACAGAAACTGTGTTAACTGGTGACTTGAACCTTGTACAGGTTTATCTTAAGTAAAAAAATGAAAAAGGAAAAAAACTTACATTATCTCTTTTTGTGGCTTAATTTGTTTCATGGTACCACTTACAGGTATTAAACAACATGTTACCATTCTGAAACAGTTGTATTCAGGTTTTTCTAATCAGAAATATAACCAACTAAATGTCTGTTGGTAGATATTAATGCCTACTGCTTGATGTACTGGGGTACATACACCCACCCACTGTACTGTAAATGTGACAGTAAGTTTTGAAACAGACAGCAATATTAACACCTTTTCTGCTACTTGTATTTTCCCTGCCACTTCCAGTCATATCTTCCAGCGTACCTCCTACAGCCATTTATATTGTGCTTCAACATAAACCTAAAGTCAAAGGGATTTTTATTGTTCTTCTCAATAAACTCTTTCCTTTCCTGTTCTTCCAGAAGCATCTCATGAGTGATGGCTTCAGCTTTGAAGGGCAAATTGGCAGCCATAAGCTCCAGGACGCGAGACACTTCTTTGTACTCACAATGTCCACCGACCTCCAGTATTATTCTGCCTGCTTTTACGGGAGTCACATAATATTTAATTGGTCCCTTTCCACCTCCCATTCTGGCACCTTCTGTTTTATTGGTGACAGGTTTATTGGGGGCTGGAACTCTCCACACAGCAAACATGTTGTCTTCATTTATAATTTTGTTGATGTTGATTCTCATCATTTCAAAGTGACCCCACTTCAGTTCACCTCCTTGTAAAGCCTGGGGAAAACAATAATAATAATAATAATAATAATAATAATAATTTTATCTTTAAAGAATGCACTTAACATCTCAGCACTGTTTACAATGTAAAAAGTGTGGAATTGGAAAATATTGAGTATTATAATAATATGATTTCAGACGATAAAGTTGGCGACTAAAAGTAAAAGAATAAAACCTTGTAAACATACCAAAAACTATAACAATGTTAATTATTCTACAATGGATGCAAACAGTGTTAAAAGAATATTACAATGAAAGATGATGAAAATTACAATGTTATAGAGTAATTCAAATTTTGTTGAATTAAAAATATTTTGGATATCATTTTTAATAATTGGTGTTTGACTCACTTTGTAAATACAAAGTACAACATTATGCTATTTTTACAAAAGATGGAAACTTTTATAGTAAAACATTACAAAGTTAAATATTAAAATTTTTAAAAAATCACTATTCAATGACAACTTATAACTTTATCATTTACAAATAAAAGTGCTCACAAAGCAAAGATTTGCAAACTCTACAATCAAAAATTTTTTCGCGAGAAACAAACAAGCAGACCAATATACTTTTGAAAATGTTTTGTGTCACAATCTTAAAAATGATTTTTGCCAAAAAGTTATATATTGAGACAATTTTTTCTTTTTCTTGCTGACACAAGTCTCCCTCACAGAAAACAATTTATTACAGATTAATGAAAAGAAGACAAAAAGTTCTTTCCAACACTTTTATTTCAGCACTCTGCAACATGTAAACACCCTGCATTCAAAATTTCAGCATACTAGTACGCTCCTCACACTACTAGAAGGCAACAGTATTTATACTAGTTGGAAAATGCTCCACCTTCACAGTCATATGCAATGCAATGAAATGTACTAATTGTAATATCCAGCACCCTACTGGATATCACACAATTTAATTTAGATAACCAAACAGTCTCTGCAGGTACAAAAGCTCAACTAAAAATTAATTTCCTGAAAGCTATACAGTAATAAAGTGTTTTGAATGAATTACGATTCATGTAAGAGCCATCTAAATATTACATTTCTAATAAAAATAAACATTTGTTCAACTATGGAGGTCTACACTACAATATTATAGTGCTTGCTAAATAAATACTGCTGAGAACTTTTCAACAACTTACCCTGATTCCAAACTGTTTATGATTCAAATTATTGTGGAAGAGTTCTGGACCTCTAGTGTCAATACTCCGCGATGTTTCTTTGATTCGACCTTCTCCCCAAATCCTCACTTGCATTTTGTTTGGTTGGGGGATGCGTTCATATAGTTTCAATTTACCTCTTTCTGGCATTTTAACCCCTGGAATTATGAATTTTTACTTACTGTCATCCCATTAAACTTTGACAGAGAAATTTATTCTTAATTGTGATTTCCTGACATATTAATGAGTTGAACTTGATCTAAAAGGGTAAATTCATAAACAATAAATCTAAGTATAGAAAAGTTGTTTATCAAATGACGTCACCACAAATTTGTGAAATTCGAAAGAAAAAAAATCAACCAAGTATAGTAAATTTTCATTACATTACTTGCATTAATTTAATAAGACTATACCTTTGAAGCATTATCTTAAAATTCAATCATGCTGTCACAGGTATGAACTGCCATATGAATAATCAAGTAAAATGTATGATAAACTAGAGTAGTTGTGGGTACAGTGGTATATATATGTACTTACAGCTATAATCTTGAGGTGGTTTCGGGTTGAACTTGGGTTTTTTACGAAATGTTGCCATTGGAAGAACTGTACATGGCATAAGCACTAAATGAAAAAAAAATGTTTCTTTAAAACAAAAGAAAATGTTAAGTCTGA